ACACCAAATAATTAAGGAGAACTAGTCTGCCCTATGCGAAACTGTGGTATGACATCATACCACACGGTCGCCAACGTGTTAAATGTTACCATAAATTTGGCTCTTGAACCACTCTTTTCAGTTCGTTGAGGGAGCTAACCGTTGACCCTACATAAGATAATACTGTCTTCTTATATCTGTATATGGGATATGTAAGTGCAGAACCTCTTTGCTACAGATTTTCACATGGGAGGAAGAAGCGTTTGACGGTTCAAAGAGCAGCTCCAAACCCTGAACCACGTTTATAGCTTGAAGGAGGACGATCAGGCCAAAACTTTTAGTTCATCATGACTCTACATATGTACCTCTTACAAAGCTCGCTGCCCAAAGAAACGAATTTACACCGATTGCGGCATGAAGGGAGAAGTAGGGGAGTGATTTTCTCCACATTTTTCCTGAATTATGCGTCGGAGCGAATTTATAAATGAAAGCGTCTCCACACACGACTTGATTCTCCGCATTAGATGACGCAGAGCAATTATATCGTTGTTAAGAAATACGGAAAACCAGGACAATTCAAGGTTGTGGATATTTCCCTAAACAAAGGCTAAAGTCAGCTTGAATTTTTCAGAACGAGTCAAAGCGAGGCAAGGAGTTGGGAGCCGTGGAGAAATACAGGCTCCGACGGAAATACCCACCACCGCGAAGCATTTGGGACGGACAAGAAACTATCTACTCATTCAAAGAAAACAGTAGAAAGGTACGACCATCACCAAGCCAGCCGTCACTCTGATTTGACTCTCGCTCTTTTACAGTATCTGAAACAGTTTTATAAGCAAAATCAGTACCCCACACTTGACCAGAAGAAGGAAATCTCTCGAGCCACTGATTTGGAGATTCGTACAGGTATGCTTTCCTTTTTCGAGCTCATTTTAAATAAAAAAAGAAAAGTCATTGATATCCAGATCTCAAACTGGTTCAAAAATCGCCGCCAGCGTGACAAAACGAGGATGGAATGTGCACAATACGGTCGACCGCAAATGGTTCAATTGCAGACACTCGCTTACAGTAATCTCCCTTTGAATATGAACATCAGCATGCCATACTCATGCAAAATGGAATGAATTGAATAAATATATAGTTTATGAAAAGACCTCTGAAGTCACCTACAACGGCCATACGCCATTTTTTCATCAGCCTCTTGGAAGTTTACCTTTACGGCTTTGAACGACGTCAAGAGATCAGGGAGGCGACGTACATAAACGCTGTCCACCAGAGGGATCAAAGAGTGGATGCCCTGAAAAATGACCAGTGCCAACGGTAAGGTCACGCCGAACAGGATGAGAAATTGATTGCTTGCTCACAAATGTGTACTGTATCGACACCTTACACTGCTACTTACTGTAAGCCTTCATAAAGTATAGAAAACATTTGGCACTCAATTCGGACCATTTTGTTTCCGGGATACCCCAAATCGAATTTTATGTGATGGCAATTCAGTTCTATCTGGTCTACGCAAATTGCTGGAGCCACCCGTCTTACAAGCCTTCTGGACAACCCCGGCCGTAATTGAAAGGCTTCGGAAGAATGGAGGCTCGGGTGGTTCAAGCAGTTTCTATATAGTGGTCGCGTAGCTATAATTTGACCAAATTGCAGGATAGCCTCCAATTAGTCCTTCATTTGGTGATACACGAACAGCGTCTATGGTGATGCCATCAAAAAATTCTTCTGCAATGTGGGTTGTGACCGTTTAAACGTTTCCTCTGCAAAGGAAGATCCAAGCCTCTTTTAACTCTATGTGCAGTAATTTCATCCAAAACGACCACATAGTGAGCAATTCGGAGCATCCTCAGGCGATCTAGCATTGACCTCAACGCGGCCCTATCAGCGTGGTATGTCTATTGACTAGTACGAATTTATTTGACGTAACAGCACGCGAGGTTGATAATGATTCCGTCGGCTAACGTTTCGGCGTTTCCGCCTTCTTCGGAGCCTAAAAAGGTGGAAACCAATTTACGATTTACTCGACCAAATGTCTCCCTACCCTACGAGACCTTCGAGATCAGCTAGACCATGACTTAATTAACACGTTGACGACAAGCCGACGCGCATGCGCGTCAAGAATTTCGCACCGCATCGGACATTCTGACGCGATAAAAGTGATTCTGACGCGCAAGCGCGTCAAGTCTATGCTACTCACTTTTATCGTGCTTGCGCTCCTTCCTCTCGGGTTTCTTGTATTCATTCTATAGATAATACATTAGCATAACTATAAACCGCATGGCAGCCAGAGTGGTCAAGTATCTTTTGATTTAGCAAAGATTTTCTGAACGCACAAAACTTTCGTTCCGATTCTTTCTTAATAATACTTTCACTGCCGTCAATATTCTTATGAAAGATTTTAGAGTTAGTTGAAACAAAACTCTGTGAGTTTCAATATATTTGATTTGATGGGAGTACTTAGATATAAATGCTTTTAATTTCATTCGCAGCGAAAGTGATGTTTTTTACTTCTTCGTGGTCATTATGCGCTCTTCTAAACAAAAACCTACTGCTACTTATATAGTTAACCTTTATGCTTTCATCCTTGCCGAAATATTCCTATGAGATTCAAGTTATTGTGCATTTTAAACAAAAAATAAGCGGAAGTAAGGTGAGGACGGCGCGGTCGCAAAATCGCTCCTGTCCCACGAGGTGCAAAATGCCAAAACATGCGATGTCGTGTAATAGGCAGATCAGGTACCGTACCTTCCCGATCAGCGGAATCAGCCTATAGAACGACGGTATAGAGGATGTCGGGCTGATCATCATCATCGTGGAGTAGGGAGACATTTAATCGGATAAATCGTAAATTGGTTTCCACCTTTTTAGTCTTCGAAGTAGGCGAAAACGCCATTACCATTACCATTCACCACTCCACCATTTGTCGCAGGTATCTAGACCATTTAGCGAGAGAGAGCGAGAAAGAGAGAGAGAGCGCCAGCGTTGAGGAGGGAGCATCAATGAGGGTCGCATCAGTGTGGAAGTCAACGAGCAAAGAGAGGATCCTCCTAGGGTTCTGAGCCAATTTTTCAAAATTTTTCCTCCACCTTGACACAACTTACCGCCTCTATCTATTGGGCTGCCTTCTAATACTAAACTTTGACTCAGACAAACACATTGCTTGTTCGCCCCATATACGTATACTTCTGAATGAGTTGCCAAGTATAAGTTTATGGACCGCCTCCCCACTTCCCGATCGCTGCCCTGCAATTACCGTTCTCCCAAACTAACTGTAGTGGCTTGGGAGCGAGTGATGACCGGAGTGTAAAGTCAAAGCTCTAAATGTCGGAGCCACCAATGACATACGGCCTCACTGCAGCCAGCTGTGTGTCCACAGCAGACTTCACAGCACAACTGACTTCCACAAAACTAATAGTAATAGTTCTCTGCCAACAATGTGATCAGTCCCCATGTCCGTCTTTCTTGAAACCTGGGCATTCTTCATAAGTGTTCTTGTTATTGCTGTGCCATACAGGTTTTTTATGGTGGAATTTTTATTATGCCTGACGTTTCGACAATTTCGTCGTTCTCAAAGGCCTGAAAGCATATCGAAACGTCTTGCAATGTTGCCATCCCGCTCACAGCTAACCTTCTCCTACTGAACGTTACAATCCCCCATGCGACTACAATAGAGCAGGATTACGAACAACGGTTAACTCACGTTAATTCCACCAGGAAGGGCCGCTCAGCTTCGCGAAATAATGGAGAAAGTGAGACTGACCGGTTGTACTGCTTGT